GTATGATGGCCTGCGCAGAGTATAACGCGGGTTACTCTACAAATTTGCAAAGTGGGATCGACGTAGGAGGGGGCTTATGTAGGGCAGTCAGTATGGTAATAAAGGGTGGGGAGTTCTGCTATTTGAAGAATGGGACTGGTATTGACAACACAGCGAATAGTGGGGGTGATGCAGTTCGAAAAGATAGTGCTATCTTGCAATAATTAAAGTGTCATCTGCACATGCTGATATAGATAGAAGCACCAAAATTTTAATAAAATATCTTCATTATCATTATCTCGAATCGAGTTTCATAACACTACGTTCATCCAGGGAATCTTTCATATCCGTGAACCATAACATACATCCCAATTACTCCAAAGCAAAACATCTATCTGTACTATCTGCATTATTTCCCCACCAATTTGGCATGGTAACGATCTTTCCTGCGCCAAAGAACAAGAAAATCAATAGCATGTTCAAATTGAATCCTGCATCGAAAGCAGCGGCAAGAATATAATTATATCTTGCCCACATCTCATATCTATATCTGTACGCCCAGTAGGCGACAATGAATCCACCAATGATGGAAGAAGTGTACCCAGTAGAGATATTTCCATAAAATGTAGAAAGACCGGAGAAGAAAATGGTGGTGTTGAAGAGATGAAATTTAGCTTTGGGAAAGCGACGGTGAAGAGCATAGATGATTCCTGGAAGAATTGCTCCAACAAGAAACCCGTATGGAAGAGGTTTGAAAATAGGCAACTGGAAGAGGCGTAGAGGTCCGATGAGAACGTATTGTGTGCTAGTAGTCAAGGTAGTAGCGAGACCTTGTCCAGTCCATTGATGTGTCGGATCTGTTACAGCACCACTTAAATAATCCGCCTTTGAACTGAGTACCCATTTTACGACACCATAATTAATTGGAATACCAATGAAACAACCGAAGACTTGGGCAAAGAAGGTGTCTCGAGGAGGAATATGCATATAGTGACCAATTTTCTGATCTTGAAGCATAAGTTGTGCACGATACCATGCATCACCGGCAAGGGATGAGTAAACCGATGCACCTGAAGGATTCTTGTGTCCGTCGACCGCGTTAACCATCAGGCCATACAAGAGTTCGTTGAAGGTACCGATTGGAAGTTGGAAGTTGGAAAGGGCATATAGCCAGCCAAGTGGGACAACGACCACAACACCTGTAAGAACCGCGATGAAATATGTCCATAGAGGAATAAAAAGATTACCGGTGCCCAAGATTACCATCATAACGACAAAGGTAATAAGGAAGAGAATCAATGACCACCACCATGGAACTTCTTTATAAGAACGTTGGAGGACATTCAATTGATCGCCATATTGGTGGTTGATGGTTTCTCCCTCGACTTTGTTTTTACGACGAGCGTTCAATTTCTTGAGGGTATCTCTGATTTGTGTAAATCCAAAGAAAAAAATCCAACTGATACCGGAAGTGTATGCTGCATAATCGAAGAACATGTTCCAAAGTTGTTGAGTACCAACGTAGATTGGCCCATACTCCTCGTAAGCAGTTTCATTGAGTGTGGCTTGAGGAGTGATGAGCTTGGTGGTAGGATAAGAAGTTCCATTTTCTGATGATTCGTTAGTACTTATCAAAATATCATTCTGGGCATGTGACATACCCATGAAGAGACGATTAGACATCAATTCAGGCTTCCAACTACCCAAACTTCCCCATTTCGCGGCTGGAAGCAATATCCAACAGTTGACTACAAAAGCCAGGAAGATAATTACTTGAGTCCACCAAGGAGTTACAAACAAGCTGTTGGAATTACTCAAACTAGCAATACTTGACCAATCAAGTGTCAGATTTAAGAAACCCATTCCCCCCAAACCTGAGCCCATGAAATTCGCAACCTTGTTCTTTGGGGCGACCCAACAGAGGAATGCCAAGGACCCAAGCATTGGAAATACAAACTCTGGGAGGAATTGCCATAAAGTGATTCCTGCAAGAACTCCAAAGAATACTCTCATCTGCTTCTTTGAAACACGGGATGGATGTTGCCTCTGCTTCTTTTGAGTTTCAAAGAGAGCAGTCTGACAGAGTCTATTAAAATTTGAAGTTAGCAATCATCATTCTCTAATGTTCTCACCATGTCTCGCTGTGAGAGAACAAGCTGGGATAGAGCAGTGTAAAAGCCAAGTTGACAGGAGCAGTATGATCAAGGACGTCGGAAAAAGTCTTGAACTTACGCTTGATACCATGGGTATACAGGATCATAGAGCAAGAATTGTCTGGCAATGGCTGCAAAAGAATATCCAATGTATACTACGGACCACATGAAGAATATCGCAACTGCCGGATGAATGGTAATTCCAAAGTAGAGCTCGGCGATAGAAATTGGGGCGTAGGCCAAGTTATAGGTGGCACCAGATGCTGCAGAAATAGTAACCAACACATGTTCTTTTGTTCCCCACGGACCTGGATTCAAACTGAAGCTTCCTCCAAATGGTAGCCAGACGGTCTTGGCTGGTAGAACCTTTGCTAGCCAAACACCAACATAGTTGGAACAAATCTGAACGAAGAAGACCGAGTATGGAGCGGATGTCGTACGGAAATGGCTCATTTGTGATAAGAAAGCTCCCGGTGCGACGAATATCAGAGTCAGAAGAAAATAGCGGAATGTGATTGTAGGTTCGGTAGGATCATCCTCGAGACTGACAATTCGGCGAACTTGCCACGGAATATCCTTAAGTAATGGATCATCATCACCAAACCTTCCTGATGTTGGTGTCGCCTTTTCGATGTCGAGAGGTGAATTCTCGACAATAGGTGAGGACTCTTTGACATTTGTTTCGGGATCGATTTTCTCAGCTGGAATACCATTTTCCTCAATGGATTTACTGATTTCGTCGGTGCCAGTAACACTCGATGCTACCCCATCATTTTCATGATCGACAGATGCGGGGGTGGTGTTATTCTCCTGCTGCCGAGGAAAAAGGCGGCTTCTCAAGATGAAAACCCCATTTCTCCAAGATCAAATGTTGAATTAAGAGAAGATACCAAGAGATGTGAAATATGCGTGAGGCATGGCAAAAGTTACAAGAACTAGTATATACGCAAGAGAAGTCTCATACCGCCACTAAGCGTATTCGACATGGAAAAAATTGATCCATCGGTATTGCACCATTTACCATTCTTATCGCATACTAATTATTAGATTACAAAACGAATATCATTTCGATTTGTGGAACTGGCCGTGCTAAGGTCCCTTAGTACACCCATGAATAGCCCACAGCGGTGGGAATTTAACGGGACGTAGAATTCTCAAGAAGTGATCGAGCTAACATAATGGTAGGGATTTTGGATCTCACGATTCAAGATTTTGGTGTTGAGATTTGGCCATTGTGGGTATAAGATCCAAAAAGTATGGATTTATCATAAACCATGAATGATTTTACTTGTTCGTTTAATATTGAACATAGATGAAGGGGGTAAAGAATACATATCACTGGTATACTAACATTTTAAGCTTAATTGAATTCCCGACCAAACCGACGAAAACATATCAAACTATTATTCATATATCGGAGAAAAGATTCCTATTTAGATGATGACAAAGTCACAACAGCATTTTTGAAAATGACGTGCTTTTCAAAACTCCACAATCATGGAAAATTTTCCATAGAATAGAAGAATGGTGGTGAATAATCAAAGAGAACGAGCATAGTCCATACGTAAGAAGTGAACAAATTGGAAACTGTAGGAAAGCATATCAGGAGTGCAAACGTCGATAATAGTGGGAAGATTCCGGGATTCGATAGTAAGAAGACAACGGTTGTCTGACCGTCGATGGTCTGGCCGTTGGTGATGGAATGATTTTGGTGGCGAGAACATGTAAGAGGATATGAACTGATTCAATTTAGGTGTCCGAGATTCGGCATTTGTACGGGGCATGAAGTTGAACACCCAACCTGCCAACATTCATGAGAAAATCCAATAATATCCAAACGCCAGCCCTCGGGGAATATACCAGAATTCAGGATATATGGGAATCATGCTCGCATTGGCACGTATATCGGAAAGCACGCGAATAGTGTTTAGAAGAAAGTTTCCACGAACTCAGAGGGGAATTACTCATGTTCGTATTGGAAATATACAGTTGGCGGCGGCACAAAGTAGAGTAACGTTACAATATGAGAAAGGTCAAAGTCTCTTTACAGTGTTTTCTCCTCATTAAACAGAATGTATAGACGGTGAATAAAATACTCATTCAGCATTTTACACTTGACTTCAAAAGGTGCAACAGCAAGGGATCATTAGATGATTGCAATTAACTTCGTGTTCTGCCGACGTCCCGAATTATAGTTGGTGATTCAATAATCTAATGTTAATTCTTTGATAAAGTTCGTAAGGAAGGTAATTTTCCATCATTGATTGCCAGTGTTAAGTCGGGTGCCCGCTGCCCATAAATCCCAGGATATGATGCTTCAACGTTGATGTGAGAACAAGAATTATAAGATCTATCAAGAAAAGGCACAATTCGGTATTTATATTGAAGATGGCCATGTCAGATATTGCCTTGTCAAATCATCTGCTTACTCTCGATCAAATACAAGCCTTTTCGTGCGTCCGGCAGGCTTACTTGGCTCTGAACAAGCCTATGAGTATTCCGGGTCTAGTGCTCACACGCCACAACTTAATTTGAACGTATACAGTCATTTGGCTTTGACAACTCATTATTATGTCATATCGAATATGTGTGAGATTTTAAATTTCACGTTGAATGTTATAATGTCGTAACAGAAGTGAGTGTGTTTCCAAGTATTTCTCAGCGTTCTTCCATATAAAACATTCATGATGGACTGTTCCCCGTCGTCATTTCTTTCTATCTAGCAGGAAGCGTTTTCATCTGATGTTATGTTGCATTTGCGGACAAAAGCCCGACGAAACAATTTAGTAAAATAATTATCTCCATTTCATTAAATCTCATATCATAGTATATACAATTCCCAAAACGTCCTCTCATCACACGATGATCCTATGCTGGAAGGGTGTTGTTTGGTAGAGTTCCAAATCCACTTGGGAAGATATAAGTCCCACTGGCAACATCTTCTGCAATTGTCGCATTCGGCTTGGTATAAGTCTTAATATCGAAACCCAATGAACTGGCCACGGCCACATCAATCAATCCACTGACAATATTTCCGAACAAGACACTTCCGGCAGCATTAATGTGTGTGAAATCCGTTGGTGTCAAGTTATACGTCGCAGCATCAGTCGCCCCAATAGCATCGACATAGTCTGTGGATGCGCGGTTAAGATCTATGTACAAAGATCCGATCGATTTAGCAACGGCTATAGTAGCATTGGCTTGTACGGCCAGATCTTCCTTAGCAAGACCTGAACTATTGAAGCTTCGACGGGTAAGAGAAGTGACGAGAATCTAAGTAGCCAGGTTAGTTAACTCTGTTGTATATTTAGATTGCCGATAGCATCCCTCTGCCGAATTTTCTGGTCTCTAATGGACAACCCTCCGTGTTTTCGACGCCAAAACAATGGGGGCATCTAAATATTCTCCAATATAGAGACTCAAACCTATGAAAGAGTATTGACTTACTGGAGTTCCACCAGCCGCCACTACATCCTCCGCCATGTTCTTCAAATTGGTCATGTACTCCGCAACTGAGATGTTTGCTGTTGCCTTTTGATCATTGTGACCGAACTAATTCACGCGTCAACACTATCTTATCACTTTTTCCTCTCCACCGTTCGCCAATACTTACTTGAATTGTAACAAAAGTCGTATAGTTTGCCTTGTACTTTGCTACAGATGCCAACACTTTTGCCCAATCGCCACCATTCACGAAGCTCACAGTCGTTGCACCATTGTGTCCATAATTGATACCTCCAGCTCCATTGCGAAGGGTAGCTAGAAAACCATTACCCCATCCACCACCTGTTAAACCTGCATTCTGAACGGCTGTGGTTGAATCACCGGCAAGTAGAAATGCTGGTGGTGCTGCGCTGTAAACAGGAGATGCGAATAATGTCGTAGCCAGACCGGTTAAAAGGAATCCAAGATTGCGAACCATTTTGAGAGTATTGGAAAGTACGAGTTAATTAATCGACGGTCGAGATCACGGAGGGTATTCACTGCTTGACAATTGGTTCAATGGGCTTCGGGAGAGCAGATTTGGATAGCTACTTGTGAATGAGAGATCAGTAACTTGGGGCAGTAGAGGCGGTATATAAAGTATCGTGAGATAACAAGCCAACATATATTCCTCCGACATTCGGTTCATCATCGGAAAATATTTTCGGTGAATTATTGACCGATATTTACCTACGTGTGTGTCCAAGACATGTAATGGATATACTTGGCAGGTACTTGGTCGAAGGCATTCATAATTCTTCCGGAGCGTTTTACCGCCTCGGCGATCTCCAGCAAACCCCGCATTGCCGCGTAACCCCACTTGTTTTGTTATAAACAAAACTTAAGTCGTTGAGGCAACCTGAAGGATGGATCCAATACTTTATTAAAGTTTTACTGTCTACCTACCCATGGTGTTTTGAATTATATACCACAGATGGTCAAATTAGAGGATCGAGGGGGGTCATGAGCGCCCTGATACTGACAGATTTCTGCGTCCATGACCAGCATGGCTAAACTATAGCATGCACCTCAAACCAGAATCAGTCTGATCGTCCATAGAAGTCAATCCTTCCCCTCTCCCTCGGCGGATTGATATCCATCTCAACCTGGTGTTCGGGTTCAAATGACACTCATCCTATCCTTTGCTTCCTTCTAACCCAAACCTCCCTCTCTTCATTCTCCGCTCCAGAAATTGGCCGTAATTGAACTTCCCAGACTTTCAGCTTATAACTTCCTCGGTCGCCTTTGCCATGAATCAAATCAAAAGACCAGTCGTGTTTTGGACATTGTATTCCTACACTCAATCGTATGCCAAAATCCTCAATATCAAACGGTGTGCCTCGTGAAAGTGGGAAAGAGGAATGTGGACAGCTCTACCAATTATTTAGTAGTAGTTCATCAGCTTTCCCTTGAAAACACACTCTCAGTCTTCTCATAGAGCAAGAATAAGCAGACTAAACTTACATGATCAACGGCATGAAACTTGCCTTGGTATTGAAACACTATAACTTGCTCCTTGAGTCCAGCTGCTACGGCATCATCAAGCTCGACTTCAACCGCTTGAGTACTGTTGGTAACAGGCACATGAAAGACTTTACAACCAGGTGCGAAAGAACCTTTGCATGGTAAGCGATCGGATAGGACAGTATCTCCGGAGGCTGTAATATTCGGGAAGGAAGATGTATGGCCGGCCAGAAACCAAGCATCGCCAGATCGAGAAGTACCGACAAAAGGGCTAAAGAATGACATGGCTGTATTGATGGCGGGTTGTCATCAAAACTACTATGAATCTCTACCCTGTGATGCTTTTCCTGTGGTTTTGAGAATTCAAGCAGAGAGTTTTATTCTGCAGCTTTTACTTAAAAGCTTGCTATCTATTGCTAACCACTCTCTAATGATCTGGTTCCTCGAAACAGCCCTTCACAACGCGAACTCTATTTAACAATAAGGATGAAACAATGAACGATCCTCCTCGACTCTTTGGATTGGAGACGTTGAAAACCATGGAAAAACCTTGATAGTTCTTATCATAGAATTGCGCCACATTGAGACATATCCTCGGATTAGGTAATCCTTCAGCCACATATACATATGTGGCACATTCTGTCTCTCTAAATGTTTCTTCCCCTGAAAGTTTCCAGCATAGTCGACAACGCAACACCTACACTTCTAGGTACTCCAAAGTCTCGACGGCTACCTGTGTTGAGTTTGTGGTCTCTTATCGTTCCTAGCGCATAACTAAGACACATTCAAAGGGTTCCCGGATTCCCTCGTACTCATATTTGCCGTTTTTGGCAGCTGCTCGTTTGTTTATATATACCTACTTACCTAAATTTTTCTACTGGTTTATCCCATCTTTCGGTTGGCTTAGCGTACGTCACTGTCTATTCTCATATTCCGAATGATGGATGTCGACAGCTATCATTGGAATTCAAATATCCTTATGCTTGCCGCAACTCAACTTTAATTCATCAATGTCATACGATCTCTTCTCCACCGTGAGAAATGAGTCTCGTTCTTACTTCTTTGGGCGGCTCGTTCCGATCGCGCACCCCCAAAACTGAAACATATATCAAAAGAATGATAGTCATGCCACCAAAAGGATATGAAGATGGAGTGGCTCCTCACGTGCCCAAAGGTGATCTTCTTCAGTTACAACGGAAGCTACGTCCTTGTCTAGTTAGTTAGTCCCTTTTTTTCGGGTGCGTTGGTGGTATGAATAAACGACATCAACACAATCATTCGAGTGCCCGTTGGATTTCTCATCATTTGTAATTCATCTCAGGTAGACCCGGGATTCATTTCTACTAGTAAGGAAGTGCTATGAGGCAACTGAGTAGACAGCTCTCGCACGGCCGTAGTAATAATAAAAGTCCAAAGATATCATCATTTCTTGATTTTTCTGGGATATACTTTCGTGTTGTTCCTGGCGCAATGGCTGCCAAATTATATATAAAGTACTGCAAGCCTCTTCTTATAGTTTTCCGGCAGTTGTGAGAGATCTTCATGATCAAACCAAGAAACCTGCATTGGAAAAGTCATTTATATTGATTCATCTACTCTGGTTCGCCTGGGACATTGGAGCATTATGATTTGTGAGTGATGAGCGGGACGAACAAAGGCTGAAACTCTCCCTGGTATTGGTTATCCATACTGGGGAAATTCGATGCTCATCATCGTTCCAGCATCTTGGCATCTTGGAGAAGATTGATCCCTCGATGCACCGTCAAAACGATAGTTTGTATTTTTGGCATCTTTGATCTGACAGGTTGTGGTTCCTCAGAGGGATCACTCTGAGATCTATGCCATCCATGTCAATGCGAACACTTCACAACTCCACGAGTCGATTTATTTCATTCCCCAAAACTTTCACTGAACATTACGCGGCTCTTTCACATCCCGTTTCCCATCTATCCTATGTCGCGAATGGATTGCCGGACTGAATCAATCTGATAAAATATGAAGGTTGTCATGAGTAGTCTCGATCTCGACATTTTGTACTTGAAAAATAAAAGATGTCCATTGAGTCTTCCATTGTTTCTTCCACATCTTCAGAAGAATGCTATCTCGAACTTCATTTCCTCCTTTTCCATGGCAAAGTTGGCCAAGGTATCATTAATTATTCAAACGCAGGGGTGACACAGGGTTCAGGAGAATGTTTTTGTTCTTCGATATCATACTCGCCGGTATTAATCCGATATCTATCACTTCGTAAGTTCGTATTGTTTTACCCTGTGCAAATTATAAGGCGCCATGGTTTAAATGTTCAAATAAACTTCAGGGTCTTTAGGCTGCTTATGAACAGGCGGTGCAGCATGAAAAGAGTCAATTATAGTTAGATAGCCGGCCAATCTTAATGGACATTTAATCTAAGGTTACTGCTCCGATCTGATCTTGCTCAAACCACTTTTTTCCCATGGAGTTCTATGGATTTCGAAAATCACAGGTCAATCAATCTTATCGTCTCACTCTGAGACCAGTGCTACGTCTACCAAGTACGGAGTATGGGTACGTTCATGTGGATACCTCAACGCTCAGCGGCTTGAGAGCGGGTCAAATTGAGTGTGGCCTGCTTTACTTCACTAGAAATTTACAGAGACCCACATGTAGACCTTATTCAGCCACATTAAGGTACTTGGTATATTCAAATTTCTTTCCTTCCCCAATCCTGAGCGTTGGGTATGGACCGAGGCGAGTCAACAAGAAGAGGTATTGTTCTAGAATTCGGACTTAATATGCGTAGAATGATTGTGACTGATGAAAATAGCGGATCCATCACTTCCTTTTATATCAAAACAAGGACCAACGTTATCATTAAGGAACGAACATCTGTGCTCCATCCCCATACAATATCGAAGTATACCCGCAAGATGTCAGGAAACAGAGCTTCGGGAAGCATATTATCACTGCCGGTAGTGCGCAAAAGTATAAACAAATGGAAAAGCAAGAAATCTTCTCCCATTCTTGACGATCGTCTTGACTTTGTAATTTTTTCCAATGAATCACTAGGCTGGTCACTGTTTTATTTCTTATGAATTCCTTTGATCATTGCTTTACTTTTCTTTGCACATTTTAACCTGCCGAGATGGTGACAGAAGCTACAGACAAACAAGATGAAATTCTGATCATTACATTGCTGTTCTCTGGGATTGCGTGTGTAGCGGTTGCGTTGCGATGCTATGTTCGAACTAGGTTGTTGAAGGCATTTGGTGCTGATGATGCGATTGCAGTTTGCTCTTTGGTAACATCTATCACGTAAGGTCACACAGGATATTTACTGACACCACATAGTTGCTTTTGTGCGTTGGAGTTGTTTTTACCGTGTTGGGAATTAATTCGGGGTTTGGAAAACATGTCGGTACTATGACCATGGAGCATTACTTGCGTGGATTGAAAGTATGCTTCTTATTACCAAGTCATGGCTTTGGATTATCTGACATGTCTATTTAGTATTGGTGTTTTTCGGAAATCATTTACCCTCCTACTATAGCTGTTATCAAGATATCCATCGCTCTTTACCTCGTCCGCATAGCCGTGAAGCCAATTCATATATACATCATTTATGTCTCAATGACAATTTTTCTTCTTTACACCACAGCTTTTTTCGCCTTTTTGTTACTTCAGTGTAGGCCGATATCATTCTACTGGAGGCGATTCGAGGGAGCAACCGATGGGCAATGTTTAGATCCCTCTATGATAGCAGGTATGGCATACGGCCATGGAGCCGTGAACGTCTTGACAGATTTGACACTGGGGATAATTCCGGCGTTTATCGTGGCGGATCTTCAAATCACAACAAGAACAAAAACAGCGGTCGCAATGACTTTAGCATTAGGTTCCATGTAAGCAACGTTGTTCATTTGTCAAATCGATAGAAGTTGCTTCAACAGATACTGACGAATTATCAGTGCTAGCGTGTGCACCCTCACAAGAATCGCATACATTAACGATCTTTTGCATACCAGCGATTATCTCTATTCAATAGCGTACGTTTCCCCTCACACATCATTTTGTATTACCACTTCAACCTATTAACCCCGTATCAGTGATGTTATTATCCTCTCAATTGTCGAAGCAGCTGTCGGACTTATAGCCTCTTGCTTAGCGACACTCAAGCCCCTCATTCGCTCATTCCTTGACTGGTCTGAGAAATCCATCGGATCATCCGGAGGCCTTCACACGCGCATGATGGATGGAATGAACCGAAGGCGAACAAGAATGTACGATACTGAACTAAATCTAAGGCCCGATCTCGCCATTGTCGGATTCACGACAACAGTAATATCGAGTAACGGACGAGAATCACCACCTCTACACGGGAGCATAAGTCAAACTATGGATGTCAAGAGTGATGTGTGGCTTAGTCCGAGGTCTCATGGAAGTCGAAAGTCACACAGGAGGCTAGAAAGCGGGAATGGGGACCAAGCCGCGGTGCCGGCTTGTCAAATAAAGTAGAGATTAATGGACGTGTATGATACCACATTTTCACATGATGAATCTCATTTTATGCGACTTGAGTTTCGTGATTTTTATTTAAATTGTATAATTGAGCTACCCCAAGGTATGTCGACCAACCAAGTTGAATGCCTCAAGGCATATGAAAAGTCAAACAGACTTGGAGTCTCATGGTCGAAAATACGATCAAGGTACGCCCAGACCATGATAGAACAGGCCGGGTTAACATCTGAATTCCTTCATCCATTCTTTCAGCTATAAATCGATACTAAAATCATATCTCATTGAGTAAATACCAGATCCGAAATCCGCCAATCGCTGCTCTCTAGCTTCTACCATGTGCCCATCCCAACCTCCAACTTCCGACTCCGATTCCAGATCTTCACGACCCAGATACCTTCTCTCGCCCCATGGTCTATATCATCTATATCATTCCTCTCGGTGTTCTCGCTGATCTCATTTGCCTCAATACAATGGCTACTTTCCTGCTCAAGGCAGGAACTAGCATAAAAAAAGCACCAACGCTGCACATACTAAACTAATTAATATAACCATCGGATCACTAACAGCCTTCAGTTCCCTATTTTCGTTTTGAATAGTTTCGATCCCTCCAGGTCCAGGTATTGAAGTTGTACTAGTCATTGATCTACTTATCGATGTGACCGAGATTGTTTTCACAATTGAACGCGTGGTCTGGGTAGAGGAACGAATAGCAATGGTTGATATGACCGAACTAGTAGATCCAGGTATACTAGCCGCTGATGGGGAGTTTATTGAAGTCGAGGGAGCCAAGCCCACATCAGACGACGTTATAGGGTGCGAGGTGGTCATAGATGAAACATGTCCCCCGTTGTCCAAATATCTCCCATACTTTCACAGACACTATTGAACATGTCGACTATCGAGATCAACCCTGCAACCCCACTTTCACTTTGCGCAAACTGGGAACAAGTCTCGATGGCATTATCAAAGGACTTTGGGATCCAGGATGTGACGCTCGCGTAACACAAGCATGAAGCCTGCTGAGAAGGACCCAAAGTCATAAACCCTGGAATCAGGCCAACACAAGATTGTATTAGAGATGAAGCAGTATAGCAAGCTAGTATCACACTATGAATTATTGGAGTCGTGATTGAAGATTCATGAGTCGTAATGGGAGCGATGGTAGCGATGGTAGCAGGCCCCATTGTCGTCATTATGTTTCCAATATTACCGCAAAATCCCTCCAAGTTAACAAATGCCGGGTATGCGCTTGGCACAGCTGTGCTTGCAAAATCGGCACAAGTCTGCACCGCTTTGTCAAAAATTGTCGGAATCCACTTGGAAGAGTCATAACACAGACATTGTGCTTGTGCTGATGGGACAAGAGAGGTAAATCCGGGACTGATCGATTCGCATTTGAATAGTGTAGAGCTAACTAAGGCACACCCGGGGTTCTGTTGAAGGACTGAAGCTGGTGCGGTTGTTGTGAGATCATTTCGAGGTCGCATGGAGTTGACTTGGTAGATACTAAGCAGTAGAGAGAACAAGAGGGGTAGCTTGAGTCTCATTGAATAAAAGTTCTGCAGTCGTGTGTCGTTCAAAGTCGCGGTTGGTGGAGATGCAATTGACTTTGTTCTTCGAAGATTCAAAAACAATACGCTGATTTGTCACGGGAATGTGGCGTATTCAGTCGTTTCTCGAGCACAACTTGACTCCGTATGGAGGGGAAGTTGATCGATCAAGTAGATGAGATTAAAAAAGTTGTTCGAGGATAAAACCATCTCGAGATGCTATTCTTGTGGATCGCTGTAAGTGAAATTCCAAAGGCAGGTCTTTCCTTTTGGAAATTTGCATGCTTGCCATATACCATTCGAGAAGTCGCGATTTGGTAGTATTCACATGGGCGTTCCTACTTGAGAAGGGCTTTTCATATTGACATCACTTCCATGTTGGCTAGATTGAATTGAAATAAAACAAAATGTTAAGCAAGTAGTACTTGATGTTCAAACCACAAGTGTAATAGAATAATATTCATATTTATATGATCTCGTGATATCACTAACAATCAATATTCATAGCAGTCATTTCCCTGCTTTCCCCATCCCGCTTCTCGCTTCATACTTCGTTCCATGTCTTCAAGAAGAAAATGAATATGTACATACACAATACCATGTCCCATAATCCCAACCTAGGCCGACCTTGGGACTTTCCAAGTCTCCCAGCTCATCACCTCATGCGACGCCGAGTCCATGCCATAAAATATAAGTTGCGCCTAAAATCAGAGATATTTTCCCATTAGAATAAGATGCGCCTTTGCCATCTCTTCCCCATTCTCGATGTCCAAATGAATTCTTCCCCTGCAAACCTGGCCACCTCCGTATTCGACCATCCACATTACTCAGTCCTATAAAACTTCCTGTACAACAAATGCAGGAATAGATTAACATTTAACCTCATTGCACCCTCAAACATATCCATATACTGATGGTTTGCGAATTGTGCAGCAAGAAGTGAGTCCATAGGAACTTGAGCCATTGCACCAGTAATGACAATGCTGCCTTTGCTACCCTCAATGGAGAATACACCAACTTGATCACATGAAATTGTAAGATTGATCTTATCCCATTCACGTTCGGGGTATCCTTTCCAAGCGACCAATACACCTTTATCCGATAAAGTTCGAGCCGAATATTTAAAAGAGCCGAATTTGTATGTACGACCAGTACGCTCGAGTTCCTTTTCGTGGTTGTATTGTTTAGAGAAAGGCATAAGGAAACGTTTTTTCCTGTTCAATCAATTATTAGCATCTCATCAATAATACAGAACAAATCTCATACCCTTTTTTCTGCAAAGTCATCATAGCTTGTTCGATATAATTATCGTAACTCTTTCTCTGTGACTCAAGCCAATCCGCCTTCTCGCCCAAATTTCCCAATGTCATCTTAACACCTTCCAATTCTCTTTGTCTCTGAACACGACGTCTGCTTTTGGTACGAATGTCAACAGCGATAGCATTTAGGATGTCCTGGTAGAAATTTTGTCTTGAGATCCTTCCAAGTTGCTCGAGTCTCATGATGTTCTCCAGAGCAGTCCTCTTCAATTCCCAGTACGACATAGATTTTATGTCTGTTAAAGTATTGACATCAGAGTATGCTCCACGAGTCTTGCTGTCTGCCGAGAATTCCTCTCGTAGTAAATCATGCCACTTTTGGTCATCCTCTGGTGTTATCGGTCTCACCAAAATTTCCATGAGGTTTGGACCGGATTGGACTCGAATGATATACAGAATACATCGCTTAGTCTCCATAAAGAGTGCTTTCACTTCAGCTTCGGGATCGTCCATGTCGTGAAGTTTGGGACTCAAAGTCATTTGAATTTCGCCAGAGGAGCCACCTAACATCTCAGACTCATTGTTCTTGGCACTGCCGAGTTCTTGAATAATTTCTCGAAGGACATCATCGCGGTTTGGACAGATTTGTGGCAGATCATCGCAAATGAGGTTGTGAATTGCGAAAATATCGGCCATCTTGATGTAAAGCGTAGGTTTCGTACGAGCATACAGATCATTAAACTCGTCAATATCGAAGGTACTTTCCGCATCCGGCACCGAGATAATATTGGAAAAGATTTCAGTGATTCTGGTAATGGCGTCAGTGACGTAGGCATTCAACGGCTGCAAGAACATGTTCTCGCCACCAAACAATCGTCCAGATGAGATCTGGCCAAGGACTTTGGCAACTTCGCCTAAATTGCGCTTTTGCAGTGGGGTGAGCTGTCTTTCCACTACACCCATAGACTCAGGAGTGGTCAAAGCTGGGAATAGGTAGAACTTGAAGAACCAATTACCAACAACTTGTAGAAGATTTAGTTGTGGTTCTCGTGGAAATTGCTGGCAAAGCCCCTCGAATATTTGTTGGCAAATAAAGCGAACACCATAAGGCATTCTATGCAAAAGACTTTCTAAAGCAAGCATGAACAGATCCGAAATCTCTCTTAGGTCTCTTAAATGATCAATGAACATGTCTCGAGTTTCTGGATCCTTGATTGCTTGATCTCGAGGAATCTCCAAAGCTCTTTGGCTTGGTCTACCTGTTCGAAGCTCTTCGTTGTTGATAGCTGAGCGGTAAATTTGCATTGGATCACTCTCAAGGTCGAGTGCGGGATCCTCGATAATATTTTCCGTGATGAGAGGACCCAACAGATCACGAAGGAATTTTCGATCACGAGGAGAACGGGTGTAATTAGCGAGGAGTTTCGTCCAAAAGAAATTGCCACGGAGTAGGTCTTGCGTCGAGGCGAAGTGCTCGATTTCTACTCTAGCAGAGCGAGCAATTAGTTTGAGCAGGTAGTACTCCTCACGGCGCTTTTGTGCATATCCAAACAGACCCATCATTAAGGTTTCGATGCGTTTGCAGTCTTTCTCGGCAGTACCCTGTTCTCGAATTATTTGGAACAACCGGGCAAGGTACTGAGATTGAGTTTGTAAGTTGAAAAAGAGTTGTTGATACAAATCAAGCTTCTTCCTCGAATTCTTGTTAAGCGCTTTCAGATCAAATTGATTCCCTGAAGCCATGGAGCTATTTACGAGGATGTTTCCTGAGTGTCCGCCAAAATTTCGCTGATGCTTGACCACCTCATCCAGTGTAATCTTATTCTTCACCAGAAGGGCAATCTTGATGTCCAATTGATCGATATATTGCTCTGCCAACTCGTTTTGACGAACTTGCTGTACAACAGTCTTTCGCATACGCTCGAACTCAATTTCCTCATTGAAATCGAAATCACTGTCATTGAGTAGATGAACGAAGTTCTTGACGGTGTTGACAGGGGGGTTCTTTCCAGTTGTCAAGCTCTTGTAAGCCTCACCCTGTAAACGCCCACGAACGAAACTTTGGATCTTCACAACCTTTTCCATATTCTCCTTGAAGAAGCGCTGCTTCTCTACATATGCGGCTCGGACCAAGGAAGCTTTAGCTGCCGATTGAATTGCAACAATGAAATCTTCTTCGGATTCTAATTCTCCCAACACCCCTTCAATATCGTTACGAAGTAGTACAGCACGTGACAATGCCTGGAGTTGTATGATTTCTTCTTCATTCGCCTGAAGATCATCCAAGATCATTTCCGTTTTCTGTCTAACCATACCAGCTCTTATCATAGATTGCAGGTCCGTGATTGTCGAGTACTCTGTGACAAGAATGTCATAATCATCCTCAATTGCGCGTCTAACAAGCATTGCACGAATTAAACTTTGAAGCTCTACTATTGATGATTCGTCTTCTTCTAAACCTGACAAAGTCTCTGTGACATCACGGCGAACTGCTCCAGCACGAAGAAAGGCTTGAAGATTCGATATGCTTTCAGAATGACTCTTCAAAGCTTGTTGTGTATCAAATACTTCAAGTCTAAGGGCACCCGCCCTGGTAATTGCTTGAAGCTTTTCCCAGATAGGTGTGCATGCATGCAATGCTTCCTGCTGTTGAGAGATCTGGTTTCTTGTTAGCAAGGCCCTCGCAAACCCTTGAATAGCTGTGATTGAAGGTTCCTCGCGATAAAGGTCTTCTTGGTCATCTGCAACATTTTTTCTGAGAATCATTCCCCTCATTGCAGCCTGCAAGTTTAACACTGGAATTGAAACAACTTTGGATGATGTTTCTCTTTCTTGAGCTACCATCATTTTTCTCACGAGCATTCCCCTCATTGCTGCTTGCAGATCTGAAACTGAGGCCGATACAGTGAGAGAGTTCAGCTCTGTTTGTTGTGCCAGAATCTTCTGTCTCACAATCATGCCCCTCACTGCTGCTTGCAGATCTGAAACTGAGGCCGATACAGTGAGAGAGTTCAGCTCTGTTTGTTGTGCCAGAATCTTCTGTCTCACAATCATGCCCCTCACTGCTGCTTGCAGATCTGAAACTGAGGCCGATACAGTGAGAGAGTTCAGCTCTGTTTGTTGTGCCAAAATCTTCTGTCTCACAATCATGCCCCTCACTGCAGATTGCAGATCTAACACTGGGGTTGACATAGTAAGGGTTGACATGTCTTCTTCTTGCTCCATCATTTTCTTTCTCACAAGCATACCCCTGACCGCAGCTTGCAGATTCAGCACTGGGGTTGACACATTAACAGATTTGGCTTCCTTCTCCTGGGCCACCAAAACTTTTCGAGCAAGAAATCCACGAATGCTTGACTGAAAATCTTTGACAACAAATTCTGACTGCTGCAAAGCTGATCGCATCATGCATACCTCTTCTCGGACTTGTTGTCCAACCTTTTTGGCCCTGAATAAGCTTTGAATCTTCTGTACATCCCCTTCACGGCTTTGCCAGAATTTCTCTTGACTCGATTGGTTCTTTCGTACTAAAAATCCACGTGCATGGCTTTGTAGGTTCACTGCGAACCGTTTCATATTTAAGCGATACTCTACGATTTGTCGCGTAAAGTCGCCACGGATCATCGATTGAAGCTCAACAAGCCAGTCTTCGGTGTCCCAGAGTCCTTGCATTGTTCTTCCTAGGTGCATTCGCATACAAGCCCCCCGTATTTGTGCCTGTAACTCCACGATTATCGCTTCGTTCTCACTGAGCTCTCGATCAATTCGCTCATCCTCAGTTTCGACTGGTTCAGGTTCAGGCTCTGGTTCTGGGACTCCAAAATCCGCTCCCATATTCCCAAAACTTGGCATACTAACTCCAGCTTTATCTAATCCTTTCTGCATTTCTTCCAATTCATGATCTTCAAATTCCAGTTGTCCAACAAGATTACCAATTCGAAAGTCCACAATTCCCTTTCTGAATAATAGCCAACTCAAAGCGTGTATACAATAAATGACTTTGGGAATATTCTTCTTCTCGTACAAATCGATAAGTTCAAATCGAAAAAGCTCGGGGAGTTGTACCTCATCCAGAAATCGGAAGAACTGGGCGATATTGTCCCAATGTCGAGCTTGTAGTTTAGGATTCCTGAATATCCGTATGCGTTGCTCCGGATTAATAGCCTCCACCACCTCTGCCAATGTAACCCGTCTCTCAAGGTTTGTTCGAGTTGCACAGTTGGAGGAATTTCTCGTTTTAATATATCTTGAATCCATTCCTTGGCTTCTCCTATATGACAGAGATACTCATAAGCCTGTAAAAATTGTCGCTGTTTGTCCATCCAATTTCTGCCTTCCCAACTATAGCCGCCGATAGATTTATTCAAGGTGCCATTCTTATCCTTCGAAATCGCGCTGCGCTGCAGTCTACGTCGTCCCTGTAATCCTGCTACCTCTTGTTCTGGTGATGTGATGGTAAAATCGTCAGGGGTTGCGGATTGCGCGAACTTTGAGAGGGTTCGAAGTTGACTCGTCGAGGATCGCTCGAAGCTTTGTAGCTCAGGCCTAGTGAGAGGTGAATGGATATGCAGTGGGCCAAGCTTTGAGAGAGCTCCTGCTCCAACACTAATTGAATCGGAACGACTCAACAACATGGAATTGGGTCGAACCATAGGCGGACGGCGCGTCGAACTGCGAGTTGGACTGGTTGCGGGGCTTATGGGCGATTGGGCAGGAGACTCAAATAATGTCAATTTGGATACATCTATGCTCTTTCCGCGATTGTGGTGTTTGATGGATCCCTTCTGCACGTCTACACTTTGTGTTCGAGAATGTGGTTGAAAATTACTTCTGATCACATCAATACTCTTTCCGCGACTGTGCTGGGCTGGGGTTTTGTCTCTTTCTGGTGGACTTTGACCTGGAGGTTGAGGGAGTGGTCGCAAAGATTTTCTGGCATTCTTGTACGCACTATCTGGACTCGACTCAATGCTCCCTTTCCCGTTGCGATTTTCTGAAGAACTGTACATTCCGGCGGCTTCACTCAAACCCCTCCGACGACTTCCGTACTCACTCGACGTCGTTGACGACAGTATGCTTGCGCCACTTGATTCATAAATGCTAGAGGAGTTGGAATAGCCACTTGATGCGGTTGATGCGTTCGATGGTGCCCTCTTTGTCGTATTTGGATTGCCCGTTGTGACAGAGTCGGTTTGTGTTTGGCGTAATAAATGACGGTACGACATTACGGCAATGGGACGAGAAGTATTGATTTATGGCGCACCAGACGGCAAAGGAAAGGTAAGCGCAGAATGTTCTCCGGGGTGCCGATCATTCACTAAATATCTTTCAGAGTATGTCGCATGCGGTATCCGAGTTGCCTCGCAGGCTGCGCGTAGTTTCTTTTGGGTGTACAGGTAGGAGAGATAATCGTGGTTGTCAGAAGTAGTGCAGTGATGGCGAAGTTCCTTTTCCCCTCCAATGTTTATTGTTTACACCCTTCTCGAACAATGGCGTCCGGCGCGATGGATGGCAACTGCAGACCAATTGATATCGACTTCTCTTCCGCTTATGCAGTATGAATACGTATGGATGTTCCAAATCCCAAAATGGTATGTCGTAATCCAAGGTAATAATCCCTATAGCTATTAAAAGAAGAATTGAAGGTTGAGCAATGTGGAAGGGATTTTTTCCTCTCTCTCAAGCCATCAGCATCCAATATTAAGATTATTCAACAGACAGACAAGCTGGGAGAAGTGATAGCAGAAGCAACGGAAGTGATATTTCAGTAGGGTATAGTATTGTTATTGTTATTGTTATTGTTGTTTATGTTTATGTGTAGGTGTTGTGTGTGCATGTGTGGAGTGACGACCTCGTGGTAGTTGGGTATATGTGGTATCGTTATTGGTATCGTTATTGGTATCGTTATCGAACTGATGGAAGAAGTGGAAGGGATGATGGATGCAAGGTACAATCGATGTGATGGGATGATGGTGGGATTGAATTAGGAAGGAGGGATCAGAGGAGGGATCAACGGAGGGATGAAGGTGGTTTCGATGTTTGGATGGATCCAGAAGAGTAAAGAGTGAAGAGTGAAGAGTGAAGGGTGAAGGGTAAAGAGTGAAGAGTGAAGAGTGAAGGGGAGTGAAGTTTGCAAATGATGAGTGCATGAAGTGAAGTGAGGGGCTGGGGAAAAAAGACGTGAATTTCCATTTGTTGATCCGTAAGTGGAAGTGGAACACTTGATCAAGGTACAAATGATAATGATGCTTATTATTATTACTAGGTAGGACGCACTTTGAAGTTTGTCCTGTGTACCGCACCGGTAGTGGATATTGTTCACATCATCAGGCACCGAGCATTCACTCAATTCATACCTCACTGTTGAAATAGGGTTTTTTTTCACACTACAATCAATCCATTGCTTTTTCTTGGATCAAACGCAGGGTTAATTTTTGTTTACGTTCAATTCTTGCTTTTACACGCTTCGCTTCCGTTGCTCCAGCAAAATAGGTTGACAACACAGCGAATGTATGAGCCAATCCAAATTCACAGCGCGGAGAATAAATCCTTGTACCCAGTAGAACTCGTCCATTCCATTTAATTTTTGGGTTTTATGGCGGTCTTTTATTATGCTTTGGTGTCGGATCGGTCTTACCTTTTTCCTCGCTCGCTCGCTGTCTTGCTATTATGCTCCCTAAGGTTTATCCTCTTTCATATATGGAAAATTGCAAAAAGCATGTGATCATCACATACAAATTGGTATAAATCAAAGATACCGATCTACCTATTTACCTATTTACCTATTTACCTATTTACCTATTTACCTATTTACCTATTTACCTATTTACCTATTTACCTATTTACCTATTTACCTACTTACCTACTTACTATACACAAGATCACAACACACATACAATATTTACATTTACCTCTATCACTGCTAGAGCGCAGCGAAAAAGCCTCCACGGCAGTGGCCAAGCGGAGCGTCATTTATCGACTTCATCGATTACTTCCTAGGTATCCACGTATCTAGGTAGGTCGGACTTCTCGATCTCCTCGCATCTTTCTCAATCATCCCCAGTCATTTATTCGAAGTCATCTCATTGCTCCATTCTCATTGCTCAATCCCAATCCATACTCATCTGGGCATGCATTGAGCTTTTCATATCTTCACGTGACTCTCTCTTATCGACAAACCACTTAACCATTATTGGCTTAGTTTCTCAAACATTCTGCAATTTTCGCCCCGCATATTTCACATTCATAATAATTTTTTCTCTTCTCTTTTTTCCCTTTCTCTTTTTTCTCTTGGGAGAAGGAAACTTCAACCCGTCGACTGTACATTTTCATTCAAGAGATTGGATTTCATCAATAACCTCAATTTCTCTTCTTCGTACTTCAAAGGTCGACTATCTCTTTGTCATCTTTTTCAATTTTTCTCATTTCTCTGAATTCTTGATTTGAATTCATTCCCCTCTTACTTTTCCCTCGCACATCTACCCGTACATCTCTTCAAGATGTCTCCTCAAGCAAACGGAGATTCCAAGCCATCTGCTTCAGACTTCTTGGCTCCAGCTAAGCAAGTTTTGGATGCCACAAAGGCTCTCGAAATTCTCAAGGAGTATGAATCTCGCGACGGTCTCAGCATCAATGATTTGATCGATTCCAAGAAGCACGGAGGTTTGACCTATAATGATTTCTTGGTTCTTCCAGGTTACATTGGATTTGCTGCTTCTGAGGTCGTTCTCGACTCTCCAGTCACCAAGCGCATTACCCTCAAGACTCCTTTCGTTTCTTCTCCCATGGACACTGTCACTGAGCACGACATGGCCATTCACATGGCTTTACAAGGTGGTCTTGGTGTTATTCACCACAACTGCTCTGCCGATGAGCAAGCCGAGATGGTTCAAAAGGTTAAGAGATACGAAAACGGTTTTATCCTCGATCCTGTCGTACTTAGCCCACAGGCAACTGTTGGTGAAGTGAAGGATTTGAAGGAGAAGTGGGGTTTCGGAGGATACCCAGTTACAGGTTCGTACTTCCTCTTCTCTCTCTCTTACCCCTCCCTACCTGCACCTTTACATGATTATTAAAACATAATTCAAATAACTTTCGTTCATCCGTATTGACCGCAAGGTCGTGGGGAGACAATTACTTTTTATGATTTTTGGTGTTTCATCTTTACTACTTGAGGAAATGATCCTATCTTGCAGCCGCTAACATGTCTGCAAAAACAGAAACCGGAAAATTGGGCTCCAAACTTGTCGTATCGTTACCAACAGAGATATCCAATTTGAAGATGATAGCGCCTCCGTCTCAAGTGTTATGGTTACAGATTTGGTCACTGCTTCATACGGTACTGAATTGGTTGAGGCCAACGCCATTCTCGCCAAGTCCAAGAAGGGAAAGCTTCCAATTGTTGACAAGGACGGAAACCTCGTTTCTATGATCTCCCGATCGGATTTGAACAAGAACATCCATTACCCATTGGCTTCCAAACTTCCAGATTCCAAGCAATTGATCTGCGCTGCTGCTATCGGTACCAGGCCCGAAGATAAAATCCGTCTTCAAAAGTTGGTCGATGCTCAATTGGACATTGTTATCCTTGACAGCAGTCAAGGTAACAGCATGTACCAAATCGAGATGGTTAAGTATATCAAGGAGAAATACCCTGATCTTGACGTTATCGGAGGTAACGTCGTTACTCGTGAGCAAGCTGCGTCATTGATTGCTGCTGGTGTTGATGGTTTGAGAATCGGAATGGGTAGTGGAAGTGCTTGTATCACTCAAGAGGTTATGGCTGTTGGTAGACCACAAGCTGCTGCTGTCTATAACGTTGCTTCATTTGCTGCTCGCTTCGGTGTTCCATGCATGGCTGATGGTGGTATCCAAAACGTTGGTCACATTGTCAAGGGTCTTGCTCTTGGTGCTACTACCATCATGATGGGTGGTCTCTTGGCTGGTACCACTGAATCTCCAGGTACTTCTTTCGTCAGTCGTGAGGGTAAGCTTGTCAAGGCATACCGTGGTATGGGTTCCATCGATGCTATGCAAGATAAGAAGGCTGGTGCTGGTGCCAAGGACAGCCAAAAGAGCAACGCTGGAACCGCCAGATATTTCTCTGAGGGTGACAGTGTTCTCGTTGCTCAGGGTGTATCTGGTGCAGTCGCACACAGAGGGTATGATGTCCATTAACCATTTCATTTTTTCCAACGCTAATGCTTTATAGTTCCGTCACTAAGTTTGTTCCATACCTCGCTGCAGGTTTGAAGCACTCTCTCCAAGACTGTGGTCAAATGAGTCTTCAAGCTCTTCACGAGGCTGTTGAAAACGGTACTACCCGTTTCGAATTGAGAACTGCCAGTGCTCAACTTGAGGGTGGTGTCAACATGGAGAGTTACGAGAAGAAGCTTTACGCATGATGTGCTTAGATAATGTTTTATGAAGAGCATGAGCATTAAATCTAGTCATCTGGGCAGGAATTTGAATTTAAGGAGTTTATTACCTGGCGTTTAAAATAGGACTACATCGTTAGTCTTTGGGTGGAGAAAGAATAAAATACATTACAAACACATGTTGTTTTGAATATGATTAAGTGATGTTGACATGATGTGACAAATTATCACATTAAACTTGTACTGGAAAGAACCTTACCGTCGAAATCAACCTAAATTAGATGATGGTATCTTGACTCTATCTTGTCGCGGTTTGAATTTTTGCGCCCAGTCCTACAAGGAACTTCAGGTGCTTTGTGGGAGAATTTGCGATAGGAACACTCACCGGATTGAAAGAATTTTGCGATGCATATTTCCACCATCGCTCGCAGCAAATTGCTGATCACAAACTCGGCAATGGAGTAAAATGATGCAATCCAAACCCTTTATGCATGTGTGGAATATTTATCCAGAACTGAATCGAAGTCTTGGAGAAACCATCAAGTGTATCCTTATACAGACTTTGATGATGATGAGTGGTGTCTCGCTCTAGTGGAGTAAAAAAAATGGCAAGTAGCAAGAAGAAGAATGGTAGAGGTAGACGTTAAAGGCTTCATGGTGCTTGGTGGATATAGTACTATGTGCTTCGCTTTTTCAACTATTGAGGCGTGGTTTTGATTGATCCCTAGTTAATTCATTGTAAAGATCTACGTTGTATCAATCACGAGACAGATATGATGCGAATGAAGATGATTTGAATGGAGAACTATGTACAATACGGAACAGAAAACTATTTATCTATGTAGGTATAACAAATTCTTTCCAAGGCGAGCCATTTGCAAAGTCTAGATTTTCTTGGATTTCGGCCTGGGCAGCAGGTAATCCTTTTGAAGTTTCTCGGACCTATCTGCTTAAACCCTCTGGAAGATTTTCGACTTGAAAGCTTTCAACATCAAAGGTGTCAAGGTCGAAAGTGTAGGAGCGAGTTTGTAGTTAAAGGAAACATAATATGGAAGAATAAATACATATCTTACTTTGATGAACCTGGTATCTTCGGGGCCAAAGATGTGAATTGGTTGGGGTCTACCAATCTGGACATCGCCGTCAGGATGTATTTCATAATCCCAGTCGGGTTTTCTCGTTCGTGAAAGCTCACAAGCTAACAGCACCCCGCAGTACGAGTGAACATCTGGTTCCCATAATGACTTAATCACTCGGCGTCCTACGTAATAGTAGGAACTCGCAGGCTCCTCTGCCATGAAGAGGGTAGAGATCTTATCACCAATCTTTTCGCTTTTCGCTTTTAACCCATTCAAGAGGATACCTGGCAAATATGATAGAGTCGTGCCATGAAAGAGCACCATCGGCCCTGACATCTCATCATTGGGGTTTTGGGATGTATCGGAAGAGTGCTTCGGTGCTTGACCAACCACAAACTGGCGGACAGAATCTGGAAATCCGGGTATCACTAACTTACCATTCGCGGGGATCAAGTATCCTCCGTAGTTTTCAGAGAGATGCTTTACGAGTTTCAAGCACTCAGGTGCTTTGCTTAAAGCCTCTGCTATCTCCCGCTTGGATCCCATATTTGCAAAAGTTTCGGGGAATCCTTCCGTGAAGTCGTCAAGAGTTATCAATTGGCGAGAGCCAGGGAAACGTATCTTATCATCATGTCGTAGTATAGCATCGGCATAAACTGAACTAAGAAGTAAATCGATGACTTGAGGATTCAATTTGATGGCAGCAGAAATCTCCAAGATAGATCTGGACATTGAAAGATCATTAACGTCATTTTCTCCTTCCTTGCCATTCCATATCCAAATGCTAAAATCGCATTAGTATTGTCAAAAAATGATGAGAATCCTCCATCCTCCTAGCGAAACTCTTGTAACTTACACATCTTTCAGAAGCAGATGGATACACTCTATTCTTGTCAATCCATCACTATCATGATACAAGTTTTCATTCTGGACCGTTTCGCGTAATTCTGCTCCTGTCATTTTCCACCATCCTGCAATAGTATTGATGAGAACCGGATCAAGAAGCATCCCTGGTTTCAGGTATCCGATTTGATAGAGTGCGTAAACGGCTTGAAGAACAGGCTTCAAAGAATGGCGATAAAAATTGACCTTAGAAGCGGCGAGCTTGCGAAGTAGTGTTTTCTTTGTGGTGGTCATGGTATTTAATACCTTGCTAAGACTAGATGTTGAAGCCATTGTTGCTCGTGATAATGACCAAGGTGAGGTAAGAGATTCGGTGGATACTGCTGCGGAGATTTCTGAATGCTTTGTACAGACTTTGTGGAGGTACTTGGGATGAATGAAAGGGTTGACTCAATCATACTTCACTGAAAACCATCCTTTCTTATACTTATCTATAGTAACAAATAGACACTATCTCTCGAGTATGGAACGGAATCGATTTATCAACGAGATTCGTGCAAAACGCGTACATTTTTTTAAGGTTGGAAAATTGCATCAACAAGGGGAAATGTTTCAGCCATCTACAATACTCAGTTTAGAGCATCGTTGAGAATTGTGTAGTCTATTCCAGCAAATTGACTGAGGATGTTACTACATCATACCACTTTATCCTCAAACTCGAACTCAATAGATAATTCCATCAACTTCACGGCTAAAAAATATAACTCCAAGGTCCAGAACCTTCTACTAGAAACTTAAGTGAGGTAGGCGTCTAGTCTCCCCTTCGATAACCTATGCTGCGAGGCTTGACTACCTGTACGAAACAAATCAGGTCTCTAGCATGCCAATTTTTCACCTTGATCAACTTCAATCTGTGTGGAAAACATTCATCGTAGCCTAGAGAGCAGCAAAGAGTGAGACAAGCCCTCCGTGGGCTATCTCTTCTGACTTGACTATTTGTATATGCACATCTTCTATCCAACAAACATGAGGTGGAAGCTACTAGGCTTTCAGGCTTCGGAGCATTTGGATTAGAACACAGAACGAGACCCATTAAACTTCACTGGTATGTGCATTATTCATCAAAGGCGTCACCCTTCAGCCGTCATATGAACAAATTCACTTGCCTTTGGATTCTAATCTCGTGATTTATTGATCAGCATATGTATATCTAATTCCAACATAATCTTCCATTCTCATCTGGAATAGCATCGTTGCTAACGACACTAGCAACTTCACTTCCAACTCCGGTCTTGGTCCAGAATAATGACCATGGATCAGTCGCATCCTTAATGCTCAACAATCTATCGTAATTGACACCATAGAAATTATGTTGCCAATCCACCTCCTCAATATCGCACTCTCCAAGATATGCTCCCGTGCCCGGGGTAACAGCTTTCCACGCAAGTTGGAGTTCGCTAAGCTTAGCCCGAGCGGAAGCCATAGTGGTAAAATTGGTAGGATCCGTCCACGATGTACCTTGCATAGTGTGAAGAGTCGTCTTTCTCCAAGCGGGCAAAACAGCATTATCAACCCCTGCGACATTTGGTGCATTGATATTGAAACCTACGAGTAGCGAAGCATTGTTTCTCGACGAGCCTGACCAAGCATCGAATGTTGCGTTGAATGTTGCTTCATCTTCAAGATATTCTTGTAGAAAGAGTCGGGAACCAACAATAGCGTCATCGGAACCAACAGTTTCTTGAGCGAAAGATGCATCCCATCCTTCGTATAATGTATCATAGGTATTGTATACTGGTGTAAAGTCTATGCCGAGTGCAGTAAGTTTTCCAAACCAAGGTGCCAACAAGGCTTCGGTTTCAGCCTGGGTGTGATTTGGAGCCCAGAATGGAGACATGATGAAATAATCCACTCCAAAAGCTGCAGGGGGAAAAACGAAGAAGTAGCTGTAGATCCCGGCATTATTGAAGGTAATAAAGCTCTCCCAATAAGCACGGACACCGAGCCAGAAGGCATCATCGGTGACATTGCCACCAGAGGCGAATGTGAAAGTTACAACTGTGACGGGAGTCGTTGGGTAAGCTTTGATTGTGAGAGATGTTGCCACACCCCATGATGCGGGACCACCTCCACGTAAAGCCCAGAAAAGATCGGTGTTTTCAGTTGAGGATGCAGTAACAAATCTTCCATCGGCTGTGATAATACGAGCAGAGATGACCTGATCTGCAGCAAGTCCATATACTGAAGTCATAGGACCATGTCCTCCACCTTGAATGTAACCTCCTAGAACCCCGACATCTCTCGCTTCGCCGCCAACAACAACCATTCCCTGCTCGCTAGCTGCCTTCATAATATCCACACCAACAACACCACTTCCGGATGTGAAAGCGGGTCCAGTATAAGGAAAATCCGCATCGGTAAATTCAGCACCCTCATATCTGATGTCTTGTAGCCAATGAGTCCAGACACTCAAAGCACCTGCTCCACCGGATTTACCAGAGAACTCATGTCCTGTATTCTTGACCACGAATCTGATCCCTGTATTTCTTGCAAAATTGACGGCAAGTTGTATTTGTGCGACATTTGTGGCATTGACTGCGTAAGCGGGATAAGCGCCAAGTGTGCAGGTTGCTGTTGGGTCGGTGGTAGGCATGCAGGTTAGACCTTGATATATTGGGGACATCATGGATGTGGGATCCTCTTCGTGCATGGTAGAGTTAGTCCAATTATCTGTGACAAAGGCACATTTATCTGCGTTCTATGCAATCTATTAGTATTATGTCATTTGAAGAACCAATTTGATCAAGTAAGTAGCGTTTAAGGTAAATTTGGACATGGAAGACAACATTCGTTTAGTGAATTTTATGAGACATTCCACCTTATTTGAAGACTTTAAGTATTAAAGTAGACTCACATAGTTCCAATCATTATAACAGCTTGATGCGATTGGTATAGTTTTAATCAACGCACCACCAAGTAGGTCATTAAAGATATCCCAGACATCATCCGCAGGCCATTCCGCATCTCCAGGGAAGACTTTACACGCCGATCTCGAAGAAGCAATGCTTGATGCGTCTACCGAAGAAGCATTCCCAAATGTGAAAAGCGCTTGCATGGAAGCATTGAGTTGTGCGAGATCTGATGTCTTCAACTGGATAGTTTCAAAATCAAAAAGTGCTGTTGAAGAAGTGCCATTGTCTTGTCTGCGAGCATTTGTAGCAGCAACTAGACCAGCATTAAAAGAAACAAGGTTGTAAAAGAGTGAAGACTTCATCTTGACTTTGACCACTCTGAGATAGTCTCAGGTAGGGCAGAACAATGGAAATGATGAGGGTATACTAATGAAAGCTACAATAGCGATGAAGTGGAGGAAAGAACCTACGAACTATTGGGATCAACTTGCCTTTTCATAGTGAAAACGAGATTCGACATAAAAACCAAACAATATAAACGTGTGGATTATCACAATATGTGTGGAGTAGTCGTTCCGAGTTTGGTAAAGGCAGAGACCAAATGGAGATAAACCGCCTCATGGTGTGGCAAGAAACGGCGAAAACATCGATACTTGATGCCGGATGATGACAATTGATGTCCGAAAATTAAATAGTATGTGCAAATAGGTTGCAATCACAGATGAGAAGCAGTATATGCTTGCCGGTGGTGTTTATTTGAATGAAGGGGCGACAAAAGAGCGGCGAGCGACTAACAAACATGGATATGCGGGGCTAAAGACATTCATTTGGTATGACAGCCGTGAACACCTTAAAGTTGAGAATCTGGAGGTGGATATATGTCCGTTCTTTGTGGAAATGCTTTTCTCATCGCTGCAAAGATCATTAGGAGAGAATGGAGCTCCGCCTACTAAGTTTCGGTCGTTTATTTCTCGGCTGTGCTCTTAAGTAAGAGGTGAAGGAAAAGAGGGTAGGAGAGGGAAGAAAGAGGGCCCCGAAGGATGGAATAGAAGAAGAGCCAAAAGATATAGGTATATCTGTACCCAGCACATACATATGCGGTGTGATTAAAATCTCAATCCTGCAGAGGAGATTAATCGTCACCAAATGCTTTGAAGATGACGCCTCTTCCGTCGACGGTTCCTCCATTCTTCCAATACCGTTGAGGAAACCAAAATCTAGACATGCTTTGACTATTTTTTTAAAACAGAAAAAATAAGTAACGGAGCCTTCTTAGGAGTCAGGGGCGCTGGCCGGTCGATGCCAAAAACTCAAGATTGTGGATAAATCAAACTGAGTAGTATTGGTCGGGTTCTCTCAGGGTTCCTTCCGTACCCTACAGGGCTTACACACATAAATTTTCTTCGGTGGGTCTACCAATTCCTTGCTATATTAGAAGGATTCGCAATGCACTGCCATCTGAGATTAATAGCTGCAAGATTAGTTCGTAAAATACAATTCGAGTTTGGCCATTAAAACATTATACACTCGTATACTCAGTCTCCTAGTGACTTTACCTCGGGTGTACAAAGTGCCAACATAAGCTTATCTCCCACAATTTAGCCACTTATAAGTCAAAACATGTTCGCCCAATATCGATTGCAGGCAGCGGGAATGATTCAGCGAAGGAAAGAAAGGATAGAATGAGATGAACGAGTGGACGTGAGCATACTGGAGTACTCCATACTCTATACTTCCGGAGCCCCTTAGCTCGGGCCAAGTTCTAACGCTTTTTGTCTGTGCAAATCTATCAACCTCCTGCAAACATTTGTTTGTGAAATTCAATAAAAAGCTTGAACCTAGAATCCCTCGACTCAAGCTATTGCCGTCCTGAGTGCGATATCAACATTGTTACTGTAGTCCACAGGATCCAGACTCAAATGTTTGATACATATCTAAGCACCGAGGACTGTACTCCGCAACGTCGTATTCCTGTAATGTCATCGGGACCGAGGTAGACTTGTGCTAGGCTGGTTTTGGCAGGCCCAATCTACCCATAACATTTATCACACGTTCAAAACGAGCTTTCGGCGACTGGCACCTAGTATGTAGGGCCCTTGAGCCATGTATCACGAACAGGGGCTTAACAGACATAATCGCAATTAGCTTCCGCTCTCTACGCTAAGGTCTATCTCAAACCACACTCTCTCGTCCCTTCAACAATGGGCCCCGCGCAAGAATCGGCGGGTAGCACGGGAATTGGTCAGAGCGATAAGGGCAGATCCAACCACCATCCAGTTGTTGTTCTTCCTCCAATTAAGCCGGTTATATCACCTCATCCGCTCGATGGTGCAATTACTACAGCTAGCTTCTACCAATGCATACTATACTCACTTGGTATTGCTTCGCGAATCATGCAAATAAACAGGCTGAGAATTTTTG